CTATCACATCACAGCCGGTCGCGGAACAAATCTGCATGACCGTCATCACGTTGTGACCGATGGGGTTCCTACCGCTGTAGGCGAGCGTGCGTACGTTGAACGTGCCGAACGATAGGTCGCCCTCTCGTGCCTTCTTCTTCGCAGCTGCCTTGACGGCCGCTGCGGTCTCGTGTCTCTCTCGGTCCACCTCGCGTTGCGGGTGTGCTTTCTTCCGTCTTTTCCGAGCGGCGAGTTTCCTCGCATCAATCCATCTCTGCAGAGCTCGGTTCTTGCCTGTGGTGTTTTGACGAGGAGGGTGCAGCACTCCCTCCCCGCGGTGCCCGCGGTCGTCTCCCTTCTCCCGCGAGCGGTGCTTACTGACGTGGTGTTTACGAATCTCTCTACTCCTCCAGCTTCGTGGGCCACGCTTTCCGCGACGGTGGTTGCCAGGTGCAGTTTGCCGCTTTGCATTACTGCCGCGGGAACAGTGTCCATACACACCTCTCGCCACTACCACCGTCTGTGCATCCTCACCGCCACGCTGAGCCAGCGCGGCGGTGAGTTGCACCTTGGGACACCACCCGCCTACTATCTCTTGTGTCCTGGTTCGCCCGCGAGGGACTCACTAGGTCGATTTCGGCCCCGGCCGGGGAGCAGGCCGAGGAGGAGGAGGTTAGGGTCATGTATGTGTACTCGCTTGGAGGACTGGAATGCATACCATGACTTGGATGCGTGTATTCCGGACATTTTCTATTTTCCGGGAAAAAAAGGCGTCACAAACGGTCACGCAGGGATTCGAACCCAGGTTGAAGTGTCGTTAGCTGCACACTGTATCCACTCGGTTCAGCGAATTGCCTTCCTCACCTCTGAAAAGTCGATGCCCCCGCTGCCATCGGCGTCGAAGGATCGGAAAAAGTCCAGGATCTCGGGCTCCGTCAGGCCAAGGTTGAGCTTCTTCACCCCTTCTCGGAAGCCCTTGAAATCGATGACCTGCGCAAACACATCGTGAAAAAAGACAGCCCGAGAGCTTTTCGCTAGCGATCTACTGCTTTGTTAAGGGGGAAACTAGCGCTTGTAAGCCCTTGAAATCGATGACCTGCGAAAGCACATCGTGAAATAAAAATAGTCCAAGAGCTTTCCGCTATCGATATTCCTTATGTTGGAGGGGAAACCACGCGATCACGTGCGACACGCATTATGCAATAACCCAGAAGCTTTTCGGTATCTGACCATGTTCTGTTTTTGGGAGTGGGAAACAAGCGCTTGTAAGCCGTCGGAATCGATTTCCTGGGGAAACACATCATGCGACAATCCACGAGCTTTTCGCTACCGATCACGTGTTTTTAATGGGGAAAACAAGCGCTTGTAAGCCCTGGAACACAATACCTACGAAACCAAATCGTGCGGTGATCAACGAGATTTCGCTACCGACCTTCCGTTTTTTATGATGGAGAACAAGCGCTTGTAAGCCTTTGACAACGACACTGCTACACGCATCGTGCAACCAGTAATCAAAACGCTTTTCGTTTCCGATTCGTGTTAGAACTTTACGTACAGTCTGAGCTTACACCCCAGTCGACAAGTCTTTACGGTGAGTGTGGGATCTCGTTTTCGCGGGGGAAATGAGCGTTTGTGCTGGGAATTCACGAGCGAGCACGTGCCTTTCACCGCTGCATAGTGTTCTCGGAACAGAATAGTATCCGTGGCCAGCCTGTGGAACTCCCGCTACAAAGGCGAACCCAACACACCCCTCGGACTGGCTCTGGAAGAACGATCACTCCGCCGCAACTAGAACGAGAGACGCCGCCGAAAGTCGGCCGATACAGGTGCGAGGATACACCACACACACGTGAAGGAGAGCTATCTCTCCACAAGATCTTTCAAACGCCACCCTTGCCGTCGCTGCTAGCCTTTAATGGTGGAGAAGCTCGAGCTACGAACGTCGGTGTAGTGGGGGGGGGGGGGGGGGGGGG